CCTGAGCCGAAGGCAGTCGCTTAACCAACTGAGCCACCCAGGCGCCCAAGGAGTTAATTTTAAATTGTTTATTTTTATTTTATTTAATAAATGAAAATTTAAAACTTTTGTCTAATGAGTATCTATAGCAGAAAATGCATTGCTATCTAGAATATATAAAGGTCTCCTATGAAGCAATAATAAAAAGCCATAAAACCCAATAAGAGTATAGAGAAAGGATATGACAGGCAATCATACTCAATTATATGTGTATACTCAATTGCCAATAAACACTTGAAAAAATGCCCACTCTCACTAATAATCAGAGAAATACAAATAAAAGCAAGATGAATATTTTTCATCCAACCAATAAAGAAGATTTAAAGATATATAGTACATATTATTGGGAATGATGCAGAGAATTAGATACTCTCAAAAACAGTTGGTGGAGTATAAGGTAATTTTGAGAGCAATTTGCTTGTTCCTATCAAATTTTTAAATTGTCAGTTCCCTGTGATCCAGTCAGTCCACTTTTACCGATCTATCCAAAGAAACTGCTGAAATTGTGCATAAAGATATGCATTTATTGCAAATTGTTTTAATCACAAAACATTTGGAAAAACCTATCATGACTGCAGAGGCATGGTTAAAATGTATTATGGTGTGTCTATTCAATAAAATTATCTGCTAAAAGGAATGCGGTAGATCTCTTTGTATTGACATAGAAAGTTCTCCAAGACAGTGGAGAAATCGAGTTGCAAAACAACATATATTATGTGGTTCCTTTTAAATTAAGATGTATACGTATAAATCCATGAACATACATATGTGGATATAGAAATGCCAGAATGGAAGGATTCTCTTGTAACTATTAATACTAATTATCTTTGGGGTCAGGAGTGGATTTAGGGGTTAAGATGGGTGGGAATTTTCAGATTTTACTCTCTGTATTAATATATGCTTTAAATAGTTTGCATTGGGAATATATTCATGCAGTATTTATGCATTTTTAAAAACAAACAAAAGGAGAGGTATTCCAGACGAAGTAGAATTAATAAGTGAGTACAAGCTGAGAAGTATGAGTTTGTTTGCATTGGATGGTGAGGCATCTAACAAGGGTCAAGGATGCTTTTTCTTTCTTTCTTTCTTTTTCTTTCTTTCTCTCTCTCTCTTTCTTTCAGAGAGAGGGATTGAGAGAGTGAGTGGGAGGAGGGGCAGAGGGAGAAACAGACTCCCCGCTGAATAGGGAGCCCCATGTGGGGCTGGATCCCAGGACCCTGAGATCATGACCTGAGCCAACAGCAGACGCTTAACCGACTGAGCCACCCAGGTGCCCCCAAGGATGCTTCTTGGTAGAAATGGGAATTAAAGCTTATTGAGAGACAAATGCGACTAAGTTAAAGAGAAGCTTGAAGCTAGAAAGAGTAGTTCAGGTTTCATGTTATAGCTTTGGTATTTTAAGTGTCTTAAGGTTGCTAGAAAGGGCATAAAACCTCAGTATGACCGATGTGCTGCTCAGTTTGACTTTAGTTAGGGGATATACTAAGGACAAAATTGGGACGAATTTCACACCAAACCACCTAAAATTGTCTTCCATTTTGTCAAGTTTATTCAAGGGTGACTTTGCTTTGCTCATACTTTGATGGCTAGACCTACCGAATGAAGTCAGGATAACAGGATTAGTTTCTCCCAAAACAATACTACCAGCAGAAAGAATTGTCCAAATCCACTTTTTTTTAGGGGGGGCCAGTTGGGCCTATGAGGCATTTTGAACTTTATGGATTTCTTTCCATTACAGAGCCACCGCAAAAAGTTCTTATAAATCTAATTGTTGAAAAGAGTTTTGAGATCACCTTCCTTTGAGTGGCTTCCCATTTCTCCCAGATAAAATCCCACATCCTCACCCTAGCTGAAAGTCTCTTGGTGATCTCTTCCCATAGTAATCCCTCATGCTCACCCTCTCCCTCTTTCACTCTGATTCTACCTCAAGAGCAAATTGTCACAGTGCTGTTTCCACAGCTGACCAAGGCTGCTGGGCATTCCCACAGGGATTTGCTACCGAGGACAGCATCATGCATTTGGGAGAGGGGGGTGTTTTCTTTGCAAATCCTGCCTCCTGTCCTTTTAATTCCCAAGAAATAAGAGAGGTCAGGCTTTTTCCTTTCTTAAGACTTTACAGAGGACTGAGATTCATTTGGGAAAGGAAGTTCAATGCAAGAAAGAGAAAGATCACTGCCACCAGGAGAGGCTATTTTGAGAGCCCATAGGCTCCAGGCCTGCTTCAGAATCCATTATAGGGCTTCTTGTTGGCTTAACTCCTGGCCTGCTGCCATTGGTGAGGCCAGTTTGCTCTGAAGTGAGACTTCTGAACATTTATTTTCCACAAAGTTCAGTTCAACTGCTGAAAGTTTTGGAGACAGGACAAAGTTCATTGCAGTCTATGTCCCACCTTAGGTAAGTTAATTATTCCCCTTGTGCCTCAGTTTCTTCTTTTGTAAAATGTGAAGAATTATAGTAACAGCTACCGTAGAGGATTATTATGAATATGAAATGAGTTAATATATGTAAAGCATTTAGAGCAATACCAGGCTGCTCTAATAAGCTCTGGACACGTGTGAGTTATTAATAACTATAGCATACCCATTGAACTTATTGCCACATTTCCATTGCCTTATACTTCTACAGCTGGGGCTTTCAGCAGAGGTGAAGAATTTACATTTTTCCTCTAATAAATTTTATTTGTTGGCTCGGGATCATTTTTTCTAAACTGGTGGGACTTTTTTTTGACTAGACCCAATCATCCAATGTATCGATTACTTACTATCTTGAATTTCCTATAGCATACTGCCAGAGTTGTCCCTCATCGTGAATGATTTTTGTTTCGTTAACAAACTGATAAAAGGCCTACTATGTGCTGTGTTCCTGAATGCATGTGAGTGTGTGTGTGCACAGGAGTGGTTAAGGCACGGATAAGACTTCCTCATTTCAAAAGTGCATATAGTTTTTAGTCACCGCAAAATAATGTAAATGTTTAAATAAGAGGTAAGGTAAATGGGATACTGGCTGTGGGCTGACTTTGAAAGCATCATGCCATAAGGATCTAGCATGGAACACTGATGCCTTGGTATAGTTTCTATTAGAGAAACTTATCTTGCAAAAATGCATACTAGAGAGAAAGGGTTTTTTTTTCTTTTTTTAAAATCTTATCCCTTAACATTTAAAAATATTTAAATATATCACACCTTAAGGGCATGAACGGAGTGAGGTCAGTTTTGTTTAACAAAAACAGGGTAGCCTGTGAAGCTTGAAAGAAAAAAATCAAATACAGGACAAATCACAAGAAGGCCTATTTTATGAAGGGAGTAGTAAACCAAGAGGTGTTCCAGACGAAAAACATCAGGTAGGTTTAAAACTATTTGAAATTTATTTGTAGTACGGGTTCTACTTTGAGAATGCGAGGTTCCTGGATAGAGAGACAACCATCAAATAAGTTTGGGGGAGCTGTTAGATTTTAAGCATTTTAGAGAAATTGGAGCACAGAAGGATGGAGGGACATACACATGATACTCTGTGCTCGGTGGAACAGAAGGACGTGCTTTTGGTTGCCAAGGGGGCTGCACACCTTGGCCCTACCCCTAAAGATGTTTCAGAAGAGGTCTGAGCAGAAAATGTACTGTATTGTAACTTTGACATCAGAGAGGGCAGTGGTCTTAAGGCGGAGTGTTTCCTCTTGTAATTCACAACGAATGTGCTGTGTTCAAGGCTGTAGGACAAATCATTTCATGTTTTCTTTCCTGCAAGATAAAGGGGTTGGAACATATGATTTCTCATTGCATTTATCTCTATGGAATCTTACGACTCTGTCAGGGATGACAATCATTTCTAATTCTCCTACACATCATGTTGCCCATATCAGAATCCAGACTGGACCGATTCAGGGTCTGAGCCAGTTTGACAACTCTTGGGTACTTCTGCTGATAAGGAAGTTGACTGAGACTGTGGTAGGCATACAGAAATGAAGCTGCAAGGCACCACCATTCGTGCATTCAGCCAACATTCAGACCTGCCTGCTATTTTTCAGGCACTGCACCAGGCACTGGGAACGCAGAACCAGATGAGCCATGGTCTGCTCAGGGAAGCCTCCTCAGTGGAGGAAAAAACAAGAGAAGTGCCATTGGAGGCCTGTCCTAGGGCATATGGCAATATAGAGGCAGGACGGGTACCTCAGCCCTGAGGTGTCTTTAGGCAGAACAGGAAGTGAGGATCAGAGCGCTACCTCACTTCTAAACAAGACAGCAGGATCGTCGGAGCTTCCCCTTGACTGACTGGCAAAGGAGTGGCTTTTTAAAACAAGCCAAACGGATCTCCATCTTCTAGGGAGACCCTGGCACGGGCTCCTTGATTCTGCCAATTTTTTATGGACGGAAATACCTAGGAGGGAAGAACTGGTGAGTCTTTGGAAGTAAGAGGAGGTCCCTGGAAAGGGGCTGCATTTCCTACCAGGTGTCCCGAAGGGACTAAACTACTTCCACCTGGGAGAAAAAGACTGTGGCAGTTGAGGGCACGGGAGGGTGTCTGTCTGGAGTCATTTCAAGGCTTTTTCCACCTTGCCTGATGTGGCAACAAGGAAAGATTTATTCGTTTTATTTATTTTCAATTTTTAAAGATTTTTCTTTTCCCTTCCCCCGCTCCCAGCCACTCTGGTTTGGGTTTTCCATATGACTCATAATCCCTTCCGAAAGTGGAGTCGAATTCATAAAAGTGATGGGAGGGGAGGGCAGGCTGGGAGCCCCGGGGAGTCTTCACTACCTACATTCCCACTCAGCCCCTGGCGCGAGCGGCGGCCGGGGCGGGGACACCCAGCCTGCGCCCGGGATGGCGGATACTATTCACACCCCGGCGGCCGGGACCCGGTGACTGGGCGCGGGAGGGTCTGCAGCGGGCGGCGCTGCAGCAGCCTCCGCACGGCCGCCGCCGCCCGCGGGCGCGAGTGTGCGCGGGTGTGGAAGGCCGGCGTGCGGGCCGCGAGGGGTGTGCGCGCGTGAGGCGGAGCGGGGCTCGCCCCTCGCCGGCGCCCGCCGCCCCGCCGGTGATCGCTCTCCGGCCGTCTCCAGCACCCTTGGCCCCCCACGGCCGTTGGTCCGGGCGGGGGAGGGAGAAAGTGAGACTCGGTGTCATCACCATCCATTGTCAGGAGGGGAGGAAACTGGAATCCAGCAGTGGCGAGCAGCAGCTGGGCGGTCACATCTGGGAATGCAAAGCCGACCTCCCCCCCACCCCCCTCCACCACCTCCTCCTCTTTCACCCAGGATCACTTCCGAAACCACTTCGCCTTCAGCCCCTGCCTCGGCCAGAGGTTTCATTTTTAACTGAATATTTACGAAAGCTGGAAGCGTGCGAGGGGGGTGGGGTGGGGTGGAAATAGCGGCTGCTTCTTTTCCAGGGATTTATTTAATGGGGATGTGTTCAAGGCAAGAGCGAATTCAGAAGGATATCGACGTCGTGATCCAGAAGTCCAGAGCCGAGAAGGACTGCCTGTTTGCAGGTGAGTTCTCGCCTTTCCGGAGCCTCGCACCCAGCGCCAGCTTCCCCTGACCGCCCGCCGCCCCCCTTCCCAGGTCTCTGACCGCGACGTGTGTGGCTCGGGCTGGGGGTGGGTTGCACGTCCCCATTCCGGGGTTCATTTGGCAACAGCTGCTGCAGCGGGAGCGGGAGCCAAAAGGGGGAGGGGGCGCCAGCCTCTCCCCTACTCCCCTCCCCCCCACCCACCAGTCTGGGGCGGCCACCAGCTCTGGGGGCCGAACCACGGTGGCCCGAGCAGGGGTCTAGGCGGAGGTGCCATGCGTGCTCTTTTTATCCCGCTGTGGATGCCCCGAGCGTCCCAGCCCGCCTCCGGGCTTTCAGCAGCTGCGGCCGAGCCGGGCGGGGAGGACCTGCGGGTTTGCGCAATGGGCTGAGCGGCGGCGGCCGGCAATGGAGCCCGCTGCGCTGCGCTACGCTGCGCCGGCCGGCTGCGCCCGGCGCCGATGCCCCCGGGGGCGGGGGGGGGGCAGCGCTGGCCGGATCTCCGCGCCTTCAGCTCGCGTTAGTCCCCTCCGACTGGCAATGCGTTGCCCCGGAAAGACAAGGGATTCCCGGGGTTCCCGAGGCGCCCTGCTCCCATGCCTGGGGGTCGCCTTTCGTCCATTTTGCTCCCCGGGGAGAAGGATCGGATTTTGCTTTCTCAGCCGCGAGCTCGGCGGGGGCCGCTTCCGGCCACCCCGACCGGGAAATTCCCGCCGTTGCCATGGCACCCGGCACTTGTTGCGGGGGGCGGCCTCCCGCGGCACCCGGCCCGGGGTGCGCAGCATCCCCTCCTGCGTGGCGCGGAGAGGGGACCTCGCGGTTCTTCAGCCCGCCAGGCCTTCCCTTGGTTCCACTAAATAGGGGGCCCAAGTCATGACCAAGGTGAAAAACCCACTCGAGGGGTAGCTTTTAACAGGACTTTTCCGTTTCAGATTTCAGATACTCAGATTCCACCTTTACTTTCACCTACGTTGGCGGCCCCAAAAGGTATTTGTGTGTATAGAGTTGCTTCATTTCCTGTTCACAGGCTTGTGTTTCCTTTGTTCTTAGCATGTTCCGTGTTTGGGTATTTTTTTTTCTCTTGTTGCTGTCCTTTCGCCACATCCCAGGCTCGAGGTCCCCCCGTTTTAAATAAGAGGGGACATAGATATGTTTGCTTCAGGTGTTTCTGAGATCACGCCACAGGCAATGAGCAGAACTCTTGCACTGTTCATGTTAAAGCTGTTACACTGTAGTAGCTTGCTCTTGAGACGTTTGGGGGTTGATAGATTCAAGCGGGTGCAGAACTGGGTATGAAGTGAAATGCATAAAAGATAGAAGATGTCACAAACTAGTTTGAACACAAGTAATAATTTTCCTGGTGAGTTGGGGCTGCGTGTTTCCATGTTTTCTGAAGGTTGATATAAATATGCAGTCTGCCAATTCTCCATACCTTTTTTTTTTTTTAAGGAGCGGTATTTTGGTTTTCGCATTTAGTTTTGGAAAGGATTTGGAAGTTATATGTAGCTGGAGTGTGTAACTTCTCTCTTGAGGGGGAGGTATGACAGATGCATATATTAATACCAAATTGTTAACAGTGTGAAAGAAGTCCAAATCCAATTTTGTATTTAGGAAGTAGAGTGGAAATGAAAGGTAGCTTTTAAAATATGCCTTGCCGTCTTCACTTGTTAAGTTAGGATTTTCTCCCTTTTAGCCCTTTGGGGACACTGGTTTAAAAGAGCGGTGGCCGCATACGAGAACTGTCAGAGATTTATCCTTGCTGTTAGGACTTGACATTTAATATCATTTGACCACATTCCAAAATATCGCTTAGCTTAATGGAAACATTTATGAACATATAAATTGCAAAAGAAGCTTTCCTCTGTAAATACGTTTTTTAAGAGATTGGAATTAATGTGAATCTTTAAAATGCTTGGGATCTGTGCTGCAATCTATATCTCAAAAAAGCTTTAATTAAAACAGTTCTCACATTTCCCATATGTACAGCCTAAGCCTCAGGATTGGTATATTGATTTGATTTACTAGTTGAGAACATAGCACATATAACATACACTTATTGGGAAAGAATAAAATTACAGTACTTCGTAATTTACTGTGGTACTATCATCCTTGTAGTTATGAATAAAAAGAGTAACTTAGAGGAGATTCAGCTAAATTAATGCTGCTCCTACACTTACTATCCAAAGGAGGTTGGTGTATGACTAATATCCTTTTGGATTATTTTAACAGTTAAAATATGCCATGCGGCCCATTGAAAACATTCTTCATGCAATCAGGTAGATAGCTGCTTGAGTAGTCGGCTTAACAGTTACTGTGGTTTACCCAGTGAGAGGTGTGGCCTGGAGAATGCTCTGGGTAGATTTTTCAACTAACTAGCTTATTTTCAATAAGATACTTGAGTTCTTTTGGGCTCAGTTTACTTATCTGTACAATGAGGGAGTGAGCCACACACTTAATCTCTAAGATCTGTTAGATGCGGCAGTAAGATTCTTTATCAGCAAATTATTGAACTGCTGTTAACACAGCAAGAGGTGGAGAAGGTATGAATGCCTCAGGAGCAAGGCCGGGGGGGTTGGGATGAATAATTAACTGATTCAGATAACATCGGTTTTCACTGTAGGAACAAGCACCATGGTTGCTCTTAAAGTAAGAGATGTTTCATTTTCTATGTAATCCTATTAAGGGATAGTATTTTCTTTTGTCTCTGATTTAAATACCTGGGACTTGTATATCTACTAAAGAAGACTTTAACGGACTGTTCTGTGATTGCTTTGTCTCCCTAAAAGCTTGTTCTACAAAACGATATATAGGTTGTTTAATAATGATAATAATCCCTTTAATGATAATCCCTTTATGCATTTATAGCTAATGGCAGAGAAGACTTTTTTTTCCCTGAAGATAAAAATGCATTGTTTTCATTAACTATATTAGAATCTGATATTTATTATATATTTCTCATTGTGGCATTTAAAATTGGGCATTTAAAATTTTAAAAACTCCTGCTGTTTTTATTGAAAGTGCTTATTAACTTATAATAGTCCATTAATAGTGTCATTTCCGGTAAACTAGACTTACTTCACCATTAAAGGAGGTGGGAATCTTAAGGAGAGATAGTACGGGATTATCTTGAATTATATTTAACTATCGTTTCATATAAACCACTGAGAACATATTTAAGGATAATTTTCAATTCAGGTTGTAGATAAAACTTAGTAAACCATTTTTTCTTTCTCACACTTTCTAAGAACAAGTTACACTTTGTTCTAAAGGCACAGGTTGACCTTACGTGTTACTATGCAAAAAAAGAAATAACTTGGTGAATTTTTTTTACACATACATTTTTTTATGTTTCTGTGCGTAAGAGGAAATGCCAAGAGGCGATTGTGTCAGGGCTGGCCAGTGGCCTGGTAAATTGACCTTTCATTTGGAGGTTGAAGGGCTTGTTAACGTTTGCTGTTCTGCTGTCTTGGTGGACCTTAGGTGAGGAATAAGGGGGGAGCGGATGGTCAGCTGGGAGACTGAGTTCAGTTAGTTTTCCCTAAAGAGAAGTTTCATGTAGTCATTATATCCTCACTTTTGGACGTACAAACTGAGCTCAGAGAGCTTAAGAACGATGCTGAAATTTACTCAGTTCATTGAAGAAGCTACCATGTACACCCTGTCCTGTCAGCCTCTCGAGACCTGTGCTCATTCCTCTGCACTAGTGTTCTCAGCCCCTTTGAACATGGAGACACTTGAACATTAAAGCATCATGCAGATACTGATAGGAGAGTGATAGTTTTAGTGTCTTTTGACTGAGAAATAATGAGAAAGAGGTGTTAAATGTTATGAATCTGATTATTAATCCATCTGCAATGCTTAAAAATTTGTGGTATATATACAGCTAGATTAATTTATTCTAGCAATGGTCTTTGTAACACACCTCTGATTCCTGGACTTTTTTTTTTTTAAGATTTTATTTTTTTATTTATTTGAGAGAGCGAGAATGAGAGAGAGAGAGAGCACATGAGAGGGGGGAGGGTCAGAGGGTGAAGCAGACTCCCTGCTGAGCAGGGAGCCCAATGCGGGACTCGATCCTGGGTTGTCAGGATCATGACCTGAGCTGCAGGCAGTCGCATAACCAACTGAGCCACCCAGGCGCCCTGATTCCTGGACTTCTTGGAATAACTTCAAAACCATCAGTGGTTCAGGGCCTGCCATGGGCACCAACCCAGTGCTGTTTCCAATTTCAGGGGTGTGCTGATGTCTGGCCTTGACTGTAGACAATTTGGAAGTTTATGCAAAAGTCATTCCTTCCCTGTACTTGTCATGCTTGTGATCTTCTGCCTCCTTTCTCCCTTATTGATTGATAGTAAAATCCCTAAGACCACAAAGGTTTGGGATTCTGGTTCTTCATCTCATTTGCAGTCAGTCTTGCAGTTAGTGGTGGAAGAAACAGAAGGGAGGAAATGAGTAGTGACAGTGACTAGGGCTGGGAGAGCAGGTTGAGTCTCTGGTGTCAGTGGTCCGCAAAGACAAGGACTGAGCGAGGTGAGCCCGTTGGGCCTGGCCATAGACCCCTGCTGGATTCCCCTGATTGTGAGCTTCCAGTAAGGAAAGTGTATTGTGAGGATATAACAGAGGTTTTAAAAATACACAAATAAAAAGTGTTTATTGTAAAAAAATTTTTTGTTAAAGAGATAAGCCAAAAAAATAAGAACACATGATTTTTTCATTTCTATTAATGTGTTAGAATTTATTCTTTCAGAATTTTTATGTGTCTATATGCATATAAAATATATGCATCCAGGGATTGTATTATACTCTTTTGAGACCTCAATGTTTTTTCACCCAAGAATATAACAATGTCTTCCCTTTAGGAAGGATATGAGAATAAAGAAATGTTTATTAAATTGAGAGTTTTCCAATCAAGGAGTGTGACTGCATGATAAGAAATCTAACTTTTATATTAGAAATTATTAATACATTAGAAACTTAATATCTGGCAGAATGTTCAGAATTCCCTATAGGTGTATGCCTTTTATTGTAGGAATAGACACTTTTTCACGTGGTCATGGGTAGAGTGGCATCTTTTGAAATATGTGCCTGGCTTCCCCCCCCCACCCCAGGATATTCTGTTCACATAACTGTTTTGGAGCATCACATGTAACACTAACAATAGTGTCCACAGTCCCTCAAGTCACATGCTATCTCTTCTTTTTCCTGGGCCTTTGCACATGCTGCAGAACACCCATCTACACCCTGTCCTCCCCACCCTCCCCCATTTCAACCCTGGGAAGCCTTCATTGTTGGATCTTTGCTAAGGCCAATTCCCCTCGGAGGAGCCTTTCTTGGCATCCCCTTCCCTGTATTATCCTTTTAGGTATTTCTAAAACCATGTTGTCACATTGTATTGTTAGCACCTGTTTACTTGATCATCTCTCTGACCTTGAGCTTCTTGGAGGCAGGGTCTGTCCTGTTGATTGCAGTTTCCCTAGCCCCTAGCTCCCTGCCTAGTACAATATGTTTTTTGGATAAGTAGATGTTGATTCAATTATTAAACGAATGCTAAAAGGTCTTCTGGCAGGTGAGAAGCAATTTCCTAACTAAATGGTCAGGTATAGAGATAGTCAAATACTTCAAAAAGCCCCAAATCTGGTAATGTCACTTGCAATAGAATTTCTTCAGAATCCAGAAGTTGCCCAGCCAAGTTATAAGCCCTGTGGCATGCTCAAATGCTTTTAGAAGACAGAAAGATAATGCAGTTGCTCAACATTATGAGGGAGTTAATGGGGACTGTGACACACTAGAGAGTTTGGACTCTAAAAGTATTTAATTCAGTTTAAAAAATCAGTAGCACTCTGGTGAACAAATTTTCTGAGGGCCCTAATCCACCTGGGCTCCCAGTGTTTAATTCCTTGCTCATGGGATGCCATGGAGAGAGGCAATCTACTTGATTACTAAAGTGCATTTGTTTTGACTTTCTTTGAAAGGAGAAGTGTATGTGG